TGTTAATATTTAAATCTATTTTTTCTGTTTGTTTCATCTGCACTTTTGTTCTTTTTTTCTCCCTTTTTTTGAATTGAGTATTTTTATGATTCCATTTTATCTCCAATAATGGCTTGTTACATGTATCTATTAGTTCTTTTAGTGGTTACTCTATTATTTAAAATTTACATCTTTATATTATTTTACTGAATCTTTATTATTTTGTTTCCTCTGCTTATTTTGTTTTTAATTTGTTTTTATTCCTCTGGTTTCTTAGACTGGCAGCTGAGGTCATTGATTTGAGTTTTATTCTTGTCTAGTATAGGCATTTTGGTGCTATAAATTTTCCTCTAGAATATTGGCACAGATGTTAGCTCAGCGACAATCTTCCTCACCAAAAAGAAAGAAAGGAAGAAAGATTTCCCTCTAAGTTCTGCTTTAGCTGCATTCCACAAATTTTCACATATGTTTTCTTTTTAATTTAGTTCAAAATACTTTCTAATTTCGTTTTTGATTTCTTCTTTGATCTGTGGGTTATTTACAAGTGTGTTATTTAGTTGCCAAATACTTGGACATTTTCCAGATATCTTTTTGTTATTGATTTCTAATTCCTTTTCATTGCAGTCAGAAAATATACTTTGAATCTCTTCAAATTTGATTGAGACTTGTTTTATGACCCAGAATATGGTCTATCTTGTTCAGTGTTCTGAGTGTACTTGAAAAGTATTCTCCTGTTGTTTGGTAGAGTGTTTTTTTGTTTTTTTTTTTTTAAGATTGGCACCTGAGCTAACATCTGTTCCCAATCTTTCCTTTTTTTTTTTCCCTTCTTCTTCCCAAAGTCCCCCTAGTGCATAGTTGTATACTCTAGTTGTAGGTCCTTCTGATTGTGCTATGTGGAACGCCGCCTCAGCCTGGCTTGATGAGCAGTGCCATGTCCTTGCCCAGGATCCGAACCGGTGAAACCCTAGACCGCCGAAGCAGACTTAACCACTCGGCCCCGGGGCTGGCCCCTGGTGGAGTATTTTTTAAATGCCTCTAGTTAAGCCGAGTTAGTTGGTAGTGTTGGTGTTGTTCAGATAGTCAACTCTCTGACTATAGCTGGGTCTGACTTATTTATTCTCACAATTCTATCAGTTTTTGCTTCATGTATTTTGAGGGTGTGCTATCAGGTGCATAAATATTTAGAATCGTATGTGATCTTGATGAATTGACCCCTTTATCATAATGAAATGACTGTCCTCATCCCTGGTAATTTGTCATTGGTACCATATATCATTGTTTGGACATATACTTTGATGTTAATTTAGCCACTCCAGATATCTTTTTATTAGTGTTAGTGTGACATACCATTTTTCATTCTTTTACTTTTAATCTATTTATATATTTATATTTAAAGTAGATTTCTTGTTAGCAGCATAAAATTGAGTCTTGCTATTTTATTGAATGGGACAATCTTTACCTTTTAGTTGGATGCTTCGATCATTTACATTTAATGTAATTACTGAAACAATTGGGTTTAAATCTACCATCTTCCTATTTATTTCTATTAGATTTGCCTCTTCTCATCTTATTCCTTTTTCCTTTTTTTCTGCCTTCATTTGGATTAATTTAATATTTTTAAGTATCTATTTTATCTCCTTTGTTGGCTTATTAGCTGTAACTCCTTGTTGTATTATTTTAGTGATTTCCTTTCAGTTTGCAGTATACATCTTTAACATCCGCAGCCTAACTTAAAGTGATGTTATACTGCTGGTACTATCTATAGTACAAGAACCTTACAACAATTCTAGTTTCGTATCTTCCCAGTGAATGACCCCAATAAAATGAGAATGTCTCTTTCACAGTATCAATTTTTCAATCCCAAGGGGGTCTTTAAGTTGCCCTGCTTGAGTTAGGTACTCATCCCTAAACAGACCACACTGGACAGGGGCATGAATATTTCGGTCAGCCTGAATTCCTCTAGCAACCCTTCTAGAACTTCATGGAATTGGGAAAGAGTCACCAAAAGAACCTAAGAAGAGGAATGCAAAAGTGTACTAGTTAGATAAAAAACCACAGCTATCATAGACCACTACAGGCAAACATATCGTAGAAGGAGTTTACAGATTAGCAGGTAGAGAAGTTGCAGACGCTTGCTATAAATTCCCAATATGTCTTGCCAACAATACTGAACTTGGCCACACAAAGCAGGAGCAAATGAAGCATTTCTTTGTGTGACATTTTCCTTCCCCTTGTACCCTTTAGGGCACGCGGCTTCCAGTGACACTTCTACATATCTGATTCCTGTCAAGCTGATAAAGCAGCCAAATACTCCACCACCCTTTCATATTTGACTTTTATCAGCATTCTGGAAAATTTTTTCTAACAATCTAAGCACTTCTGTGTAAGCAGAGTTTGTCAACGTTGGCACTTTTGACACATTGGACCAGCTAATTCTTTGCAGTCAGGGGCTCCCCTGTGCACTATAGGAGGTTTAGCCAATGTCCCTATGCTCAACCCACTAGATGTCAGTAACACATCTGCCTCCCCAGTTGTGACAATCAAAAATTTCTCCAGATAGTGTCAGATGTCCCTTGGGGGAGCAAAATTGGTCCTAGCTGAGAACTACTGATTTAAGGGAGTGTTTACAAACATCAGGATCTACAAGTTCTTGACCCCAAATCGGCATCAGCAGATGGGGAGAAAGCAGTTAGCATTAGGTGCCATGAACCCCTGTTCCTTATCCCACCAGGCCCATCTCTCCTCAAGGGACCATATCTGTGGTTCACCATTGCAGAATCAGCTCCCAGCACCTGGAAAAGAGCAGTGCTCAACACAACCACTACAACAACAAATGTTAAAAGAATAAGTGAATGATCGATGAATGAAAAGAAAAATCTGGATGATTATTCACTGTGTTACTCTAGAGAAAAGAGTGACATAGGTGGTATGTACATGAGAAAAGGAAGTCTTTTACTGTTTTACTTAAAATTTTCTGTATTTGAATTTTATCATTTTTACTTTCATAATTTAGAAAATTTTAAATGATTTCTTTTTAAAGCAGGGGGAAATCAAACCGAGTGTTTTCTCTTTGATAATTATTTCTTTATTTTGCCTTTTTTTTTTAAGTACAAATGTAGACTTTAGCCCTAGTGTACATCATTGAGTCTGAAGCTTGATTTTTTTTTTTCAGTTTTAACTCATGAGCAAACAGCCATATAGTATAAATATTTGTGAAGAGGGTTCATGTTGAAAAAGAAATGCGCTTAGCATAAAAGTAGCCTGACACATCACATTCAATTACGTGCATTGGCTTTGAGGGCAGGAAGTGGACTGCATGCATCTTCACATCTCGAACCCTACAGAACTTACGCAGTGTGGGCCCTCAGGAATTGTGTGCTTAAAGAATTAATGATGATGAAGCTTCTTAGGCATGATTTTTGTTCTTCCTATTTTACTTTGTTAAACCAAGATTTTCTGGGTAGGATGAGAGGAGAGGAGGAGCAAGCTAAGTTCAGAAAAAGCCTCTGAGGAAGAATATGTGTCTGGGCCTTTCTGCTTATGGCAGACAGAAGTCAACGGGCAAACGAATAGGCCGGGGAATATGGAAGGGAAAGGATAATTTGTGGGGCCAGCTGTTGCTTCTCTTTCTCCTCTACCAGCAGCAGGAAGCTGGGTCAGATCCTCCCTCTTCAGTGAGAGCAGCAGGGAACCCACAGCACAAAGCACTTCAGCGCCTGCCCCCTGTGACATCCCCACTCCTGTAGAATTCTCTTCTCTCTCCTTGACCTCCACCCCGGAGGGAAAGACCCAGCCACCTGGGTCTCTTGAGGTCAGAGCTCCAGGAACCAGCAGAGCCTGGCTGCAAAGTGAGGTCATTTATTTACACGAGGCAAGAGATGCACGAGGATAGAGCAATCCATCTCCTTAGCGACCAAACAGATTCCCTTTCCTCGTCCTCCTGCAGAAGCGGTCAAGGCAGGGAGGCTGGGCGAGGTGACCTTCCAGAGCTGAATCTGTGCTTCCAAAAATAGAAGCATCCTTGGAGAATCGAGAAGGGGAGGGGAGGCTGTGGATGTTGAGGGCAAAAACCGGACTCCCCAGAGCTTTGTCAGTGTGAAACTGTATTAATTAGACACAGGTACCCAGCTCAATAACCTCAGGTAGCTCAAAAACTGAAACTGAATGAACTGGCTTTTTTTGTCCTTTCTATTTACACACTCACTAGCCTAAAAAGGAAAAAGAAAATCATGTCTTCTGACCTATTTGAATGACTGCACATTGCCCGAGATGTCTTCCCCAGCAGAGGGAAATGGGGGCTCCTTAGAGACACACCAAGAGAAAACAAGAGCTGCGGCAAAGTGGGAGGGCCCGGGGCGGCAGTAGGGGGTCTTCGGGAACTGGGTCCCCACCCATCTCTCCCTGCGTGGAGACTTCTTGGGTCCCTGTCCAAGGCTTGGTAGGGCCACGCGCATATTCAGGTATGTCCAGGTCCGTGGATGTGTGGGATCAGGGGCTGCCTCTCCCAGGCTCCTGCAGCGTCCTTGTCCAGAGCCACGTGGAGACTGGGTGTTTCCAGGGTCCAGGGGAGCCATGTGCTAGTCTGCACAGGTGTCTGACCAGGTTGTGTGCAGTGCCTTGGCAGGTGGAGGGTTGTGTGAGTGTTGGGGGGCAGGTTTGCAAGAGTGTGCAGGGTATTGTAGCAAACTTGGGGCATCTGCTCTGAGGGCTGTGTTCTGGGCTACAGGGACCTGTGTGAGGCTGTGCCAGGCTGTGAGTGGCTGGATAGAGGGTGGGAGAGCCCTGGTCACCCTCCACAGCTTTGCTATCTAAAAATGGGCTCTGCTTCCTTAGGGTGAGGGTTTCCCGAAGTGCAGGAATTAATCCTTCTCCGCGTGACTGACAGGAAGGGGAGAGACACCAGGACTCGCCAGGTGAACAAAAGGAGTGTTGCCGTCCTTCCAGTGCTGCCCTGCAGCTGATCCTTAGGCGCACTGGGCTGGAGACACTTCCTAACATGTCAGTTTGTGCTTTCTCAACAGGACAATGTGGATCTTGGAGAGCTGATGTTTTCCCTCTGCTATCTTCCAACGGCTGGCAGGCTGACCATTACCATTATAAAAGCAAGGAATTTAAAGGCAATGGACATAACAGGAGCATCAGGTGGGACATTGTCAAATTCAGACTTCCTCATATGGTTCTAATGTAGTACCTTATGAAGTTTCTAGGATAGTAATAAAGTGCACGGACTCTGGAACCAAATGCCTAGGTTTAATCCCAGTCCTAGACCTACTAGCTGTATGACCTTAGGCAAGCCGCTTAACCTCTCTGGGTTTCAGATTCCTCATCTGTAAAATGAAGGTAATAATAGTATCTGGCTCACTGAGTGGTTATAAGGTTAAATGAGTTAAAACATATGAAGCCATAAGAACAGTGCCTGGCACATGCTAAATGCTGCCTAATGTTCGCTGTCATTGTTATCGTCATTATTTGCTCTTAGATCTTCTGCACCATAATTGGGAACTGGACCTACAGTGTGCACATGCTGATAGAGCTTGTCTAACTGGGTCTTTCCTCAGATATAAGCAATCACCATCTCAGGCTCGTGGAAGACTGAAGAATCCCATGTCCTTATAAAAGACCTGTCAGTGAACTAGGCAGTTTGGTGTTTTCCAGTGAGTCAAGCATGTGCAGTTAAGTTGTAATCCCTAACAAAACGTGCCCTGACATGCAGTTCCTACTATACGAATTCACAAGTAACCTCTGCAGAGGCTCCCAAAATGTGGTCACAAAACACACAGTCCCCTGGCTCTTAGTCACTGAAATCAAAGGACATCAGATGCAATGTATTCTGCTTCCTGTACTCAGTGTTTTTCCAAGCAGAGAAAAACAGTGTGGCCCCTTCTGGCCCTCTGAGCCCCTCCTGGACAGTGTGCAGGAATCAGGACAACACATGGTTATGGAGGCGAAGAGAGAAGGGGAACTCCCCATGGAGCAGGAGGATAGTGAGGTGGAACCAGGAAGGTGCCACGTGAAGCAGAGACCAGCCTTGTCACCTGTCACCGCATCCCAGCGTGGCACCACAAGCAAGCCTGTGCCCTTTCTCTCCCTGGGGGCTCAAGGTCCCTGCACTTAACGAAATCTAGCCCCCAGCTTCTCCCTGTCCTCTGGGAATTCAGCTTCTCTTTTTCCTAAAGCCCAGATCTTTAGGAAGAGATTCCCTGGGGTGTCTCAGAGTCGGGACCTGCAGCCCATTTCCCCAGGCCTTGGAAAAGCCTTTGCATTTCTCGTCCTGTCGTAGCCAGGTGGGTCTTGAATTCTAGCTGGGGCATTTTCTAATTCGGTAACAGATGTTTTCACACTATTTTTAAATTCCACACATTTTGAGAAGTCAGTGTCGTGTGCTTTTTCTTGAATGAATGACTTAATTATCCTAACTCTAATCACTGCCCAGGCATCATATTAATTAAACTTCTCAAACTCCAGTCTGCAGGCAGGTGAAAGATTCCTGCATACCATAGTCTATGAAACTCCACAGTGACGAAACTGCTGGCCTAAATCTCCACGTATCCTCATAGTACCCCTGCTTGTCACGGTTTGTACAGATCCCTACGTGAAAGTCTCACTGATGTGTGATGGCAGACGACTGAAGAAGAGGAAAACATCCACCAAGAGGAACACTCTGAATCCTGTTTACAACGAAGCCATAGTCTTTGACGTCCCTCCTGAGAACATTGACCAAATCCATTTGTCTATAGCGGTCATGGACTACGACCGGTGAGATTCCTGGAGCTCTTTCTCAGTGCAAGTCTGCTGTGCCCAGGGCAGGGAGGGCAGAGGGGGAGTGCAGCCACAAGTGCTTACCTGGTGTCCCAAGCTGCAGGAAATGAGTCGAATGAGCAGCACGTGGAAGGCAGATTGACAAGGAGTCACTATTTTCCAAACCACACTCTAGAGTCAGATTACCAAAGTGCCTCTCAGTTTTCCCATTCTTTCCTCCCCCTTTCTTACTTCTCTCTCATCCTCCACCCTCCCCCACGTCTACCCCCTCCATCCCTGCATGTCCCCTAGATCTCAGCTTGGAGAATTGTGGCCCCACAGGACTCAATCTTCTCTCTTGAGCAATCCTGCCTGGCCTTCACTGGAAAGATTCCACTCAAAACAGCAGAATGATTACTTTAGCCAGACCATCAACATTTCTAAATACATAACTTCATCCTTTTTTTCCTTCTCGCAATGTGTTTAATAAAGATCATTTCCATCCACTTAAGTCTGAAAGCAAACACAGAAATGTTCTCTTGAAAACGCTAGAATCAGTATGGATGACAGGGTACATTAAAATGTATAAGATGCTCGACTTTCTAATTAATACAGCACAGAAGAGATATTTATAGCCTTCATTGTAGCCAATTGTGTATTTAAAGGACAGATTTGAAAAACAGTTATTTTAATATGCAAAGCAAGTACCAACAGGGAATTATACATGTTAAACCAGTCATTAGACTGAAATGCAAAGTATGTTTTTAATTGGGAACCTCCCACGTGGTCTAGGCACAATTATTAAAAAAATCATTCTGACTTCTGCTATAATCTCACAAATATTATTTGTAGCTAAAAATTTTCCCACATACCCCTGAAATGTCAGTAAGGCAGCTTCAGTGCCCTTATGCCTGGGGGAAGCATAACCGTATTCCAACCCAGGGAGCACCTGGGTTGGCTCAGCTGCCCATGGGTGTGACAGCCCGTGCTAGGCAGTAGACCTCATCCTGTCTCCCCTGGTTGACACACAACACCAATAGTGTCAGGCCACAGAAGGGGACATTGCCCACCAACCGTGGAAGGCTAGGCCAGCATTTTTCAAGCTATTGCCAAGTTTCCCGCATCAACAAATCTGATTATGTGAGCTCTGCTTCAATTTAATTCTCAGTAAACTCATGAATCTGGCCTGGAAAAATCCATGGCAGAATTCATGGGGCATCTGCAAGCAACTGATTTTAATGTGCATAGACTCAAATATCCTTCACACTACTTCCCCACCCTTGTCTCCCCCTTACTCCCTGCACACAAATAGGAGAAAAATCACTCATCTTCACAGGAAAGAAAAAGAAAGAGAGAAAATCTATGAGTTTGGATCCCAAAGAGTTGAAAGATGAGCCGTATCATTCCAGTTATGCAAAGGATTTGTAACTAAAAACTGCTAAGGAAAAATAATTTGACCAAGGTAGGGGCCTACCCAGGAAATGTTTCAGAAATATTAGCTCTGAGGTTAAAGGAGCTAAGTATCTTTCTACAGTAGGGAAGTCAAGTTGCTTATAAGTAGCAAAGTTGGGCTTGGAAAAGAGGAAAGAGCATAAAAAACGTGTTCTGTAAAGAGAGGAGTTGCAAGAAGACCCAGGAGCTGTCTCCACTCTACCCTCTTTATGAGCCCAAAACTATAACTGTCAGACACAGAGCTTCTCCCTTACCTGTACTTGGTTGCCTCTTGCAAGAATTTGAGCAGCCATTATTGCAAGAAACTCCTTTCAGATGGCCTCCTTTTCACTGCATGCATTTGAAGACTTGGAGATCAACCTAGTTCTAGAACCAGAGGTGGCATCCTTAGCATGCATCAAGGAGGTCTTTGAACATAGAGTTCTCGGGAACAAGCTAAGTTATGCCAGTGTTACGAAAGCTGAGGTGTGTGAGGGCCAAACTCTGTTCTTCCTCTTTGTGCCACTGAGTATAATATTGGGTCCCAAGTACTATTGTCTGTTAAGCTTGGCCTGTATTTTAAATTAGGGAATGAAAAGAACCACCCCTTCCATAATTCCTCTGTTAGTTTAATTGAGTAGTTCTTGCTCTTACATACCAAAATTTTAAGAAAAAACTATTGTGGGCCATTTTCACAGTGTAGGTCACAATGAGATCATCGGCGTGTGTCAAGTAGGCAACGAAGCTGAGAGGCTGGGCAGAGACCACTGGAGTGAAATGTTATCATATCCTCGGAAGCCCATTGCACACTGGCATTCCTTGGTGGAGGTAAGACTCGACCCCCAAATGCTTCACTTTGTGGAAGAATAAGTACTTTACTGTTCAAAAGCAGGGGCTACCACAAATGCAAGTTAACAGGGTCTATGGTCATAGTTGGGCTTCTCTGGTTGAATTTCCTAGGGCTGTTGGGAATTATATTCAATCTGAGGTTGACTCTGTAATGCCCACGAGTGTGGTAGGTTTTGAACATTGATCAAAGATCATCCCTCACTTTGGTGGTCTTTAAAAATGATCAAGATTCTCTGATTCTGTGTTAGGGCTTGGGTTGACATTTGTAGGGCATCTGGATGAGTGTGGAGTTTCAGGCCACCATATAATGACTTATGCCTGGCATCAGAAAGAACTCGAGACTGGGAGAGAAGAGGCCTGGATTCTAGGACTGGGTCTAGCATTAACCTATGATTCTGGGCAAGTTTATTAGTATTAGATTCAGCTACATATGATAGAAACCCTAAAAACAACAAACCATGAAACAACAAATGAAATGGAAATATTTCTCTCCGACATAAAAAAGTTCCAGCGGAAGGTAGTCTAGGGTGTTATAGTGACTCTGTGATCCACAGAGACCTAGATTTCTTCTATCTTTCTGCTTTACTGACCCAGTGTGGCTTTTTTGTGAGGTCACCTTGTTGTACAACGTGGCTGCAAACCTCCAGCCATCACACATCTTCCAGGCCATAGAAAGGTAGAAAGGGGCAAGAACCAAAAGTACACACATTCCTTTTTTAAGGATTTTCCTTGATGTCTCATGCAACACTTCTACTTGCATTTGACTTAGTCACACAGACATGTGTGAAGAATATATTCTTTTTGTTAGGTGGAAATGTGCCCAACTAAAAACCAGGGTTTTGTTTTCAAGGAAGAAGAGGAGAGTGGTTACCTGGAGGCAATGGGCCATCATTCTGCCTCTCACATCCTCATTCATTCACTCACTCCCCCATTATTTACTTCTCATTTATTCTTCCCCCATTCATCTTTGCTCATTGACTCACTCATTTATTTACTAACTCATTCTCTCAAAAAACAAATTGTGTTTACTAAGTAATATTTCTGAGGGTCAAATGCCATATTAAGTGCAGAAAATACAGATGTGAATAAGAAACCATCTCTTCCATTGAAGAGCTTGTAGACCATAAGAGAGACAGAAGGTGGTATATAAATTAATCATTTAAGTGCACAATCATAAGTATTGTCATCTATATCAAGTGCTACAGGAGCACATGGAGGGAGGTGTCTATCACGCTTAGGTGAGATTGTCTGTGAAGCATTTCTTCCTTCTGCTTTCCATAAGTGAAGAGAACTGAGCTCCTGGAAACAGGGTCACTGGGGAGCACGGGTTCCAGGCAGAGGACTTTCCACGTTCTCCCAGTGCAGGCAGCTCTTCTCCCTACAAAGCCATTCTGAGAGGCCAAGGCTAGAGCCCTGCCCAATGTGGGTTCTGCTGCCACTGACAGCCAGGTGAGTCTGGTTGAAGTGAACATGCGGGGCAGCTGTAGAGAGGGAGAGAGGCCCCACACCCGGGCCTGGCGACGAAGGGGCAGTCTTCCTTTGTTGGAGAGAGTGCTGGAGGGAGAAGAGCAGGGCAAGGTGTATGAACTGATTCTAAGTTTCAGGGCCTCTGGGTGTATTCAAGAAGAGCCTAGGGCCCCCTAATTTGCAGCTTCCTGAGGCCACTTCTGCCCCTGGGCCAGACAAGCTGACTCTTTCTTTCCTGGACTCAAAATTAATCCCTAAGGGAGACCCTGTGAACCACCTGAGAAGTAGCGGGGGGTACTAATGCTGACTGCACTGCATCTCACTTCTTCAGCTCCTGGTGGAATTCTCAGAGGAGTCCGTCTGTGGGCTTGTTAAATTGTGTGAGCCTGTCACTAGCAGTGGCAGTTGGAGCAGTTGTAATAGACTTTTTGCACCCTTGTAAGTCACTGCTGACTCTAATTCTTATTTGTAATCTGGAGTGTCGGGGTGTCAAAGCTCTCCGCTTCTCAGGACACCGGAAATGGGCAAGGACAGGATTAGGAGTGCAGCGTGGGGCTGAGCCCTAATTTGGTGCCCATGCAGTTCTTTCTCAATGACCTTGCCAGAGAGCCACCATGGGTGGCGCGTTGCAGCCTGGGTCCCCAGGGGGCCATGCATGTACCTTCTACAAAGGAATGCGTAGAAAGCGGGCCTTGGAGTCTTCCGTCGCTGCCAAGGGAAACGTGCTATATGACTCTGGTCACGGGGGAGATCTTGCTTAAACTCTGAGTGCTTGGCTCTTTGAAAATCTGTGTTCGACAGTTATGTAAGTGAGAAATAGATGTTTTCAGGGTTAAACCCACTGAAACTTGGGAGTCGTTTGTTACAGCAGCTAGAATTACTTTGGCTAATACAATGGCCGTTTCTCAACTGTTGCAACAGAACTAAGGAAATGAAATGCCGGTGCCCCTTGTACGGAGGGCAAACCGAGGAGGCTGCCCCTGCCCTGTTGCTTCCTGTCTCTTTGAAGTACATGCCCAGGACTCCAGATCCAACCTGAGAGGGGAAGCGATACTTGCCTTTTTAAAAATAAACATGTGACCAGGAGAATTGGGGCACTGGTACCAGAGGAGATGAAAAGCCGTATGGGAGAGGTCACCGCGCTTTGTAACAGCTGTGAGGATGGAGGGGGCCGGAGGCTGGCGGCGGGAGGCACTCGCTCCGGAGTTGGAGGGACCTAGATTCAATCCCTGTGCTGCCTCACAAGGTGTTTGTTTTTCTGAATCTCAGTTTTCTCATCTGTAGAGTGGCCAGAACAGCCCCTATCTCACAGGCTGGTTGTGAGGATTAAACAGTCTAAGCTGTGTGACGCACAGTGGCTGGCACATAAATAAATGCTCAGGAACGTTCTCAGTTACGATCATTATTATGTGTGTCCTACATTCTGAGGGATTGCTGTGTCCTCGTGTGACTGTCACACAAAGAAATACCATCCACAGTGTTTGTCATGGAGGATAAAAGGCTGGAAAACCCCCCACCCCCCACACCCGGCGGTGAGCCATCACCTCAGATGGGAGCAAGGGGTCACTTGCGACTTGGCTGGACATAGATGCGCATATTTAAATTCTGTTCCTTCTCCTTTCTTCCCTGGCCTTAAAGATAAGCTGCTCTTATATGCTCTATGAACCTTTAAAGTTTCTTCTTTAAGACAAAAACAGCAAATTAAGTCCCAGTGTTGTCAATAAGTCTGTGTGTGTGTGTGTGTGTTTGTGTGTGTGTACATACGCACGTGTGTATGAATGAATGAGGAGGGGAGGGGAGAGGATATGTGATAGTTAGGATTCAGGATGAAGAGAGGCTGGCCTGGCAGAAACTCTTCACTGCTGGGGGCTGAGGGACCAGGTTAGGACTGAACCCTGAGCCCTGCAGAGATCTGGCAGCCTGCTCGGGGCTGCATCCAACACACCCTGACCTTGCCAGGGCAGGTGGCAGATGGAGTCTTCAAAGCCAATGAGTTCAAAAAACCCGTTTCTCTCTCAGGTATTTGGATGGCTTCACTGCACACTCAAAGGTCAGCCAATATGGCTCCCTTTACTCTCTATGATGTCAAAGGCTTGGGTAGCTGGATAAACGCCATCGGAGCCGGCCTCCTGGGACTTGGGAACAGGAGCATCCCCGCCAGGGGGCCTCAGGAGATGATGGAGCTCTCAGGGCTCCGACCACAGCCCCTTCCTCCATATATCCAAGAGAAGATGGTGCTGGCCTGGCCATATCGCAGCACCTTTCCCACCCTCTTGTGTGTGAGCTGACCTACATCAGGAGCCCCAGGGAGAATAATAGAAATAGTTCCAGGTTTTCATTACATCCCTGTGTAGTGCTGCATATCCTCTGTATTAACAAACAGTAATCTTTGTTTGATGGGAAGACCAGACACAGACACCATTTGCTGGAATCAAATTTACTTCTCTAACAGAGATATAAGACAGAAAATCCCATCAGCATATTTGGTGAAGATCAGCAACATTATCATTACTGACAAAGGTGAACGATTCTAAGCCCCAAAGTCCTGCTCGAGGGGTGCTCAGGTGTGGATAGGTCTTCCTCTCTCCAAGCTCAGCCTTTTCTACATGTATGTATAAGGATAACAGGATTCTGCACCCAGCTAGTCTGCCGGTCTGCTGGGACCACCTCATTGCGCCTGATACCCCCTGCAACTAAGGGTTATACAATTCCCAGCATAACTAGGAGGCAGGTGTGGCACGGTACACCTGGCATGAACAGAGTCCTCATCTGCCACCTTCTACCTCCTAAAGGGTGTGAACTTAGAGCTATAGAACTAGAGCAAATGTCAGTTACCCAGACTCAGCTGGGAGTTACACCAGCAGGCCCTTCAAACCGGCTTGGATATTATCCATCAAGTGCCCAGCAGAGGCTACTTGGAGTCTTCGAGGTCCACACATTCCCGGGAGAAAGCATCTAATTGCCCAGGTTGAGTTAGGTGTCCACCCCAGTCCAGTTCACTGTAGGTCAGGGGTCATGGAAATGTGAGCCGGTGCCCATTCCAGAAGGAGTGTTGGGAGTAGACTTTCTGAGAAGGGTCCTGGCAGGACGGGGAAATTGACACACGCAAACCTGACTGCTACCCAGATTTTGAATTGAGGGAGTCAGAGGCTCTAGCACTCTAGGCAAATTGTTATTTACAACAGATTTAGGAAATAAGAGTGATTCCCCATAAAGGGGAGGGGTGACTGGCAAAAGCCAAGCAGATCCAGTTGCAAATAGGGAGTTTGGTGCATTGCAGGGCTTGGGTTCCGATGAGAGCCAGACCAGCAGAAAAGGAAACTAAGAAAAAATCTAAGAAAACAAAAACAATACGTGGACTGAAGCATAGGTTGGGGAAAAGCCCTTGGAAGTGCTACCACTCAGCAAGCAGGAGATACTTGAGTTGCCCATAGGCACCCCAGATTGCAGATCTTTGGTAATACCATGAACTCCAGTCCCTGTCAGGTCAGTATGGAGTGAAGTGAGGCCAG